TCCCGCTCTTCTTCTGTTCTCAGCTCCAGTTGTGAGGCTGAGATCTACGCTGGGGCCATGGCTGCACAGGAGCTACGCTGGCTCACCTACCTGCTGACCGACTTGGGAGAGGCGCCTCGTTCTCCTCCAGTTCTGTACGTCGACAACAAGGCCATGCTTGCCTTGTGTTAGGAGCACAGACTGGAGCACAGAACGAAGCACATTGCTCTGCGCTACTTCCTTGCTCGAGAGTTGCAGCAGCGTGGCCAGCTTCGTCTTGCTTACGTGGCCTCTCAGGCCAACACTGCTGATGTTTTCACCAAGGCACTTCAGCCTTGTGATCATCAGTGTTTCTGTACTGTGTTAGGTCTTGTACCTACTGTGCCTCACTTGCTGACTTCTTGACTCTGCTTAAACTGTACTCTTTATACATATACATGCATGCTTACACTTGCTAGCTTGTGTTCACTGTATTGTTTTCTCTCCTTTATATAACTCTGCATGTGAACTGGCCTTGTGGCCATTTGCTTGTGCTCAGACTGCGTGGTGACTTTGTGATCCACCCTGAGCTTGCTTTGCCTTTCTTGACTGGTCTTGTGACCTCTTGTTCTCCCCCACTTTGCCTATGGGGGTGTGTCAAACTTATATGCTATAGTCTGTTTAGGCTGTAGTGGGGTAGTTCTTATAGGGTACAACACTTTTAGGTTTCCTACTTGTACCCATCTGCTTTCTAGTTCATCCATTTTCATTCCTGATTCTAACAGCGGCCTGCCGCAGGGCGAGGTGCCACTGGTTGTGCTGCACCCCCATGTGCAGCAGCATCGTCCGCACGGCCTCGACGACCGTGCGCATCTCCTGCTCCACCATGTCGTTTTGCTGCGGTTTGTACGTGCATGTCAAGTCGTGGACGATGCCCTCGCTGTCGACGAAGGCGGTGAACTCCTTTCCGAGGAAATCCTCTTCGCGGTCAGAGCGGAGCATCAGTACTGAATTTTTGGTCTGTCACTCCACCACCAGCAACCACTTCTCGAATACCCACATCACGTCGCTCTTCTTGGCGACCGACTTCGCCCACAAAAACCACGTCTTGCGTTCCTTTAGCAGGAGAAAGTACAGACGGCCGTCCTTGGCAGCCACCCCAAAATGGCCCGCACAAGTCGATGTGCATGACGGTCAGGGCCTCGTCGCCATCTGAGCCCTAGTCGGGGAAGGTGTGTCGCTCCAACTTCCTGCTGACGCAGGAAACGCACGAAAAGTCAGCCCCGGTTGACAGCTTGATGTCCAGGCCGGTGGCAAATTCATGCTTCGCCGAGCTCGTGATGGTGTCGATGCCGATGTGCGCAAGCCTCGCGTGCCGCCTGTCCGGCGTCAACTTTGTCGCCGAGGCGATAGTCCGCAGAGCCACCACCTCCGTCGGCGACAACGTCGACTTCGTCGAGCAGGGGTGAAGGTCGGTGTAGAGGACACGGCCGGTGTACTTTTTCCGTCCGAGCACGTCCCCCGCCGACGAGACGAGCAGCATCTGGTCGCGATCGTCCTTCAGTGCCCCATTGAATCCGCGACTTGCTTCACGTCGCTGCTTGGCTCCATGTCGACGAAGGCCGCCTTCATCCCCATCAGGTGGTGCGACCAGCCACTGTCGAGCAGGACCACTGTCGGGTTTGCCTGCACGGCGACCACGGCCGCTTTGAAGTCCTCGCTGGCCTCCAGCGCCAGCAATACCGTCGGCTCCACTTCGCTGACCATCGAGCACAACGCCTCGCCATCGCCTCGACCCTTGACGCCAGAGGAGGGGTCGACATCTTTTCCTGAAGTCGTTGACTTGGTCGACTGCTTCTCCTTGCGCGGCTTGTTCTCCCGACGTGGACAACGACTGGCCGACCTTTCGCAGCCTCCCTTGTCGCCATCGTCATCGGAATCCTCGTGGTCAGTGCACTCGAAGGAGATGTGGTCGGGGTCGCCACAGAGCCAACACTCACGCCGGCGACCACCGCCTCCTCGACCGCCATACCGAGCCGACTACGTCCGGTCAGCGTCCTTCACCGACTTCCCACTTCCGCTACCACTTCCGCCCGGCTTTCCACGTTGCCCCCGCTGACGACATTGCTTCGTCGGGGCGATGTAGTTCGCCTACGGAAGGAGCTCCATGGGCCTTTCTTCCTCCTGCGTCGCCTAATCCTTGATGATGTGGCTGGTCAGGGTGTCTTTGTCAAGCGACTCACGCATGCCAGGCATCGCCATTATCTGGCGCATGAGATCGTAGCCGCTTAGGAGGCCCTTGATGACGTCCGTGATGTACAACACCGTCGAGCAGTCGACGATGGCCATCCGCATGTCGGCCAGGATCCGCCGAGCTCGGTTGCACAAGTCCGTCGCCGACTCCTGCTCGCCCATCATGAGGTGAGTTGGCTGCTCCTCCAGCTGGCCGATGTATAGGTCGTCGGTGGCCCGATACGTTGACAATATGAACCGCCATGCTTGGTGGTCGGCATCCAGTCGAAGTCGGCAAGGCTTCAGGGCGATCTGCACCATCGGCGAGCAGCACCTCAAGATTACCATGAAGGTCAGCAGTTGAGCGGCGCGGGATTCCGCCCGCAGCTCGACGTTGTCCTAGCCCGGCGTCACCATGTCGCCGCCGGCGAATCCCTTCAGCCCGGCGATCTCCAGCTGGGGCTCGATCGACTCGCTCCAAGTGATGAGATCACGTTGACCTGTTGCGGCACGAGCACGGCAATCTTGTCCGGTGAAAACTTGAAGTAGCCATACGCCCGCGCGATTCTGTCCGCCGTCACCTGTGTTGCCGACGGCGGCCTCACGCTACTTCCCTGGGGAGAATGGCGCCGTCTACCGACGTCGCCGTGAGAGCTGCCCGCGGCCGGCGTCGAGCGCTGCACTCATGCCTGCATCCCGCCGACGCCGACGTCGGCGGACCTGATCACTTCTCTCACCCTCGTGCCCTCATCACTGCCGACTTGGTCACTGCCTGCGACCTGCTCGTCGACGGCGCCTTTGTTGCGTGACTGTCGAGGGGAGGTGGACGCACCGTCTTCTTCAGCACGGGGAGGTGGGTTGACGACTGCCCACTGCGCGTGCCTAGGAGCAACACCTCCAGACTCGCCTCGTCGTACTCGCCAGCCGTGTGGCGCCTACGAACATCAGCCTCCCACGCCTGCAGGGTATCCGCTACGCCTACTTCAGCCTCGTGGCCTACCATGGCGGCTAAGACGGCCGCCGTCCTCCGAACGACTTAGGTAAGTGTTAAGTCGGCTACTTTTTGAAGGTGATTTGTCGGGCCGTCCACGCTCACCGTACCATGCGGAGAGTCACTCTACACCGGGAGCTGGACTACGGCAGAAGGCATGGGTGGTACGAGTGACCGTAGTGTTACTTAGCGTTCTCTAACACTTGTGCATTCACTGTGAAATTTGGCAAGAGTTTCACTAGCAAAAGCTGAGAACAATGGTGAACAATGGTTGCAATGGCAAAGGCAACACTGACTACATCACAGCCTAGCAACCTAGCAAGCAGGCAGGTCGACCGCCAGCACAGCAAAGTCGGCGACTTGCCAGCACTGCAAGTCGACAGCGCTCCGGCGCTGCAGAGTTGTGGCTTGCCGATGTAGCATGTTGGCGGCTTGCCAGCACTGCACCAAGACGGCTTGCTAAAGCTGCAGCAAAAAGGCCTGCCAATATTGCAACCGCAGGTGACAGCAGCGCACATGCGCGCACCTACTTTGCAGGTGCTTGTAGACGGTTGGCGCGACGTGCACTGTCACGTGCACGGCGCAGGGGCCAAGTTGGCCACATGCCGTTTATTGCGCCGGATGAGCCACGTCAACCTCGGGATACCAGCCCGAGGTCAGATTCGCCAGAACCTCCTGGGCGACAGTCGCGCACCCCGCAGAACCTCGTCGCCCTAGTTACTTGGTCGACAGGGAAACCACCAAGTAGGCGTCGACTTGAGCGGTAGGAGCCCACTCGTCAACTCTTCCAAGTCGACGCCACCCACCGACTTCACGAAGTCGGCCACTCCGCAGGTCGACGAACGCCTTCATCGACCACACCAGCCGTCTGTCGACTCCGCCGACGTCGGCGTACCCATGTCGGCGCCCACAAGTTGGCGCCCCATCCCGGTTGACGAGACCCTTTTCGATCACCCGGTTGAATTCGGCCGCCAACTTCCTGTCGTCGACGGCTTCGCAGTGGCCTCGTGCAGGTCGACCAACTCCGTAGATCTGCTCGCCCAAGTTGGCGTCGCCCACTGCAAACAAACGGCTGCACCTCCCGCACACCCGACCACGAAGTTGGCTCCGCCCAAGCGAGGACGGGGCCAACTCCCGTTAACACGGGGATCATGCAAAAAGAGGCATGGCGCATAAGCAACATGGATGGGGCATATGGGTGAGGCAAACTACGCATGACGAGGGTGACCAATCTGTGAGGAAAGGAATCACTCATGGGAAACTTTTTGAAGGGAAACAAAATAACGTCTTGATGATTTTCCATCAAATGTCATGTTTACAGTGACTAAGGAGCCTTCTGGACTAAAGCCTAGAAGCTACAAGTAGTGGCGGGGGAAAAACGACCAGGTTGTAAATTTGTGATGAAAGTAAGAGTGTACGCTAGGGTGAAAACCAAACAGAACCTTGGATGCATTAGTACAGCAACCACAAAGTGAAACTGAACTGAACGTGACTAGAATTTCGGTCTACAATAAAGTTTCTGAATGCAAGTTGACTTACCTGGTTTAGAACATTATGGAGGTTGTATGTAAAGGCAACGACAACTGCAACATAATCGAATGACAACAATAAGCTTTCAACGTGGTATGTCCATGCATTTATTTGGACATATTAAAGCGAAAACAATAATAATATGAGAAGTGAACAGAATAGACAAACAACCCTCCCCTCCCCTCTTCCCCTCCTCCCCCACCCTCCAGGCTATTATTGACGAATGAAAATCAAAAAATGCTTAATGCAAAAACACTAAGGCGGAATACATGCAATTTACCCCTAAAGCTTATTCCCTGTGCTCCCCATTATCCATCAAAAACCTCTCTAGCGCATCAATGGTGTAGCTTCCAGCACCAGCAGGAGTGATTGCCCCCACATGTCTGAAATCCCCATCCCCTGTATACACCAACCCTCCTGCATCAGTAGCCTGCCCTCCACCTTCCAAAACTGCACCTGTTGCTTCCGAAGGCGCCATGACTGGGGCGGCAGAGGCATGATTCTCGAAACTATGAAAGAGTGCTCCCTCGATGTGTGAAGGTGGGGAGATGAGGCGCCAGGGTGAAAATGCAGAGTGCTCAGCATCTCTCAGGAGCAACAACAGATCTGCTGAGGGGAGAGGCAGAGGAAGGGTCGAGTCTGCCATGATAGGCTGCTGGAAATTCAACTGCTCAGCACAAGTCTGGGTAGCATAATGCTGGTCAGCACTAGGCTGAGTGGCACACAGCTGGTCTGTGCTAGGCTGGGCAGTAGCACCAGCATCATACGCAGGCCTGAGGCCCTCTGTTGCAGAATCCTGCATTTCAACATCTCCTCCACTGCTGCCAGCACAACCAGTCTCATAACCGTTGATTCCCTTAGAGGCATCTTGCTCCAAGGCATCAATCCCGCACTTCTCTGTGTTGCCGTATCCATGCAAGCTCGCCATACCATCGAATTTGGTGGGTGGATAGGCAGGGGGGAGAAGGACATGGTGCGAGTGGGAGAGTGCGACCTCAACACCAGCTCCGGGAGCAGCATCAGAAGCAGCGCCACCAACAGCGGTGGCAGCAGCAGCGTCAGTAGCAGTGCCAAAAGCAGCGGTGACAACAGCAGCACCAGTGGCAGTGCCAGCAACAAAACTTGAACCAATGCCTCCAGCAGCGGCAGTAGAGGTCACAGCAGGCGGTCAGAGCAGCAGGTGTCATGGGGGGAGTGGACTGACTGCGGAAGGGCAGATGTGGCTGAAATAAAGCGAGCTGCTCTTGCTGCTGCAGCAACAGATGCATCTGTTCTTGCTGGTGCACGCTGCAATCGCTGCTGCTGAATTGACGGCTGCTGCTATTGCCGCGCCTGATAATTTTGCCACTCTTGCTCCCCCTGCTGTTTCTGTTGCTGCTGCTGCCGATGCCGCTGCATTGGCTCCTGCTGTTCCTGCCGTTCCTGCTGCTGCTGCTGCTGCTGCTGCTGCTGCTGCTGCTGCTGCTGCTGCTGCTGCTGCTGCTGCTGCTGCTTCTGCTGCTGCTGCTGCTGCTGCTGCTGCTGCTGCTGCTGCTGCTGCTGCTGCTGCTGCTGCTGCTCCTGCTCCTGCTGCTGCTGCTGCTGCTGCTGCTGCTGCTGCTGCTGCTGCTGCTGCTGCTGCTGCTGCTGCTGATGCTGCTGCTGCTGCTGCTGCTGCTGCTGCTGCTGCTGCTGCTGCTGCTGCTGCTGCTGATGCTGCTGCTGCTGCTGCTGCTGCTGCTGCTGCTGCTTCTGCTGCTGCTCCTGCTTCTGCTGCTGCTGCTGCTCCTGCTGCTGCTGCTGCTGCTGCTGCTGCTGCTGCTGCTCCTGCTTCTGCTGCTGCTGCTGCTGCTGCTGCTGCTGCTGCTGCTGCTGCTGCTGCTGCTGCTGCTGCTGCTGCTGCTGCTGCTGCTGCTGCTGCTGCTGCTGCTGCTGCTCCTGCTGCTGCTGCTGCTGCTGTGCCATTTGTGGATCATCCAGAGTCAACTTCAGCTGCCCCTCAAGCTGTCTCGGCTGCAGTGCCCGTTGTATGGACGGCCCCCAACGGTGATTCTCCAGTCGTTTGTGCAGCTCTTGAGCATACTTGCTGGCTGGAAATATTGGCTGGAAGGTTGATGCTCGATGCATCTCAGTGAAAAAATAATGCTTAATGAAAAAACAGAAAGGTATACATTCAATTTACCCCTAATGCCTATTCCATGTGCTCCCCACTATCCATCAAGAATCTCTCTAGCGCATCAATGGTGTAGCTTCCAGCACCAGCAGGAGTGATTGCCCCCACATGTCTGAAATCCCCATCCCCTGTATACACCAACCCTCCTGCATCAGTAGCCTGCCCTCCACCTTCCAAAACTGCACCTGTTGCTTCCGAAGGCGCCATGACTGGGGCGGCAGAGGCATGATTCTCGAAACTATGAAAGAGTGATCCCTCGATGTGTGAAGGTGGGGAGATGAGTCGCCAGGAAGAAAATGCTGAGTGCTCAGCATCTCTCAGGAGCAACAACGGATCCGCTGACGGAGAAGGCAGAGGAAGGGTCAAGTCTGCCATGTTATGCTGCTGGGAATTCAACTGCTCAGCACAAGGCAGGGAAGCATAATGCTGGTCTGCACTAGGCGGAGGGGCATGTAGCTGGTCTGTAGTATGCTGGTCAGCAGCACCGGCATCATACGCAGGCCTGAGGCCCTCTGTTGCACACTCCTGCATTTCGACATCTCCACCATTGCTACCAGCACCACCAGTCTCGTAGCCGTTGATTTCCTTAGAGCCATCTTGCTCCAAGGCATCAATCCCACACTTCTCTGTGTTGTCGTATCCATGCAAGCTGGACGTACCATCAAATTTGGTGGGTGGATCGGCAGGAGGGAGAAGGGTTCTGTGCGGGTGGGAGACTGCCACCTCAACACCAGCTCCGGCAGCAGCATCAGAAGCAGCGTGAAAATTTGCGGTGACAGCAGCAGCACCAGAGGCAGTGCCAGCAGAAAAACTGTTACCCATGCCTCCAGTAATGGCAGTAGAGGTCAGAGCAGAGGAGGTGAGAGCAGCAGGTGTTATGGGGGGAGTGGACTGACTGAAGAAGTGCAGATGAGGCTGAAATGGAGTGAGCTGCTCTTGTTGCTGCAGGAGCAGGTGTAGCTGTTCCTGCTGGTGCACCAACTGCAATCGCTGTTTCTGAATTGACTGCTTCTGTTGTTGATGCTGCTGATGATTTTGCCACTCTTGCTGCTCCTGCTGTTTCTGCTGCTGCTGCTGCTGCTGCTGCTGCTGCTGCTGCTGCTGCTGCTGCTGCTGCTGCTGCTGCTGCTGCTGCTGCTGCTGCTGCTGCTGCTTCTGCTGCTGCTGCTGCTGCTGCTGCTGCTGCTGCTGCTGCTGCTGCTGCTGCTGCTGCTGCTGCTGCTGCTGCTGCTGCTGCTGCTGCTGCTGCTGCTGCTGCTGCTGCTGCTGCTGCTGCTGCTGCTGCTGCTGCTGCTGCGGCTGCTGCGCCATCTGTGTCTCATCCAGCGTCAACCTCTGCTTCCCCTCAAGTTGTATCTGCTGCATTGCCCCTTGTACGGAGGGCAACCAAGGCTGCTTCCCCAATCGTTTGTGCAGCTCTTGAGCATACTTGCTGGCTGGAAATCTTGGCTGGAAGGTTGACGCACGATGCATTTCCATATCCAGCTGTCCTGATCCCGTTGGCCTCTGCTCATTGGACTGTGACCTTCGCATCCTTCGCAGAGGGATTGCTGTTTTTGGTTGGAGAGAGCGGGCTGGGGAGGATGCAACCCCAGCCGCACCGGGCCCAGCAGCACCACCAGCCACGCCAGCACCACCAGCCACACCAGCAACACCAGCAGAACCAGAAACACCAGCATAACCAGCAACACCAGCCACGCCAGCAACACCAGCAGAAGCAGCAACACCAGCAACAGGAACAACACCAGCATCGCCAGCAAATCCAGGACCACCAGGAATAACGGCAGCAGTATTCACAGTACTATCCGCGCCAGTCCCACTACCCACATTGGCAGCTGCAGCATCTACACCACCACCAGCAACACCAGCGCCAATTTCACCGCTCACAACACCCACACCACCTATGTTGCCCGCACATAGCCGGGAATCAGGAGCTGACGTACTGATAGCAGGTGGTTCCAGTGGGGAAGAGACGCTGTTGCTTCGGAATAAAAGAGGCGCAGGTTCAGAACAAGGCTTGGAATGAATCTGGGGTGGAGGCTCGGACCAAGGAGGGCTGGAAAGCTTGGAAATCGTGTTGTCACTTTCCAGGTATGGGGTGTGGCTTGTAAATATCTGCTGCTCCCTCCACTCTTCCACGGGAAGAGCTTCACAAATGACGCCTGCAGAAGCAAACCGTGCAGGTGCCTTGCCTCTCCTTCCAGCCTTCATGTTGAAAGATCTGCGCCGTTGGAAGCTTGATGCACTGAGCTGCTGCTGCTGCTGCTGTTGGTTCTGCACCTCCTCCTCCTCCTGCTTCTGCAGCTGCTGCTGTTGGTTCTGGTGCTGCTGCTGCTTCTGCTGCTGCTGCTGCTGCTGCTGCTGCTGCTGCTGCTGCTGCTGCTGCTGCTGCTGCTGCTGCTGCTGCTGCTGCTGCTGCTGCTGCTGCTGCTGCTGCTGTTGGTCCTGGTGATGCCGACGCACGTGCGGGATCACAACAACTGAAGATCTGCGGGACATGGTAAATGCATACCGCATGCCATGATGATGCCTGTGAAGCGGCCCAAACGGGGACGTCATGGCAGGTGCATGATCTATCATATCATCATGCCAACTTGGGAGCATGTATGGAGCTGAAGCTGCCATGCTGCATACCTCCACCACCTCCTCTGTTTCCCGGAGAGAACCATGCTCAGCATGCGTCATCACACCCCCTGCCACTTCGACACTGAAACCCCATGACACCGCTTGTGGTTCGCTTGATGCCCGCGGAACGAAGCGTTCCGGGACTGGCATTCCTGCTGTTTGCTCCCAAGCCAGCACATGCTGCCCTGCTGCCGATGCTTGTTCCCCTATCGCTGCACGTTGCCCTGCTCTTTGCTGCCTGGACGAATCATGTTGCCCTGCCTGTCCCCCTGTCAGTGCGTGCTGCGCTGCTCCCAAAGCCTGCTCCCTGGCTGCCAGTACTGGAAGTCCTATCGTACAACCAGACGGACCCCCTGCTGCTGCACCTACCACCACACCTGCCCCTTGGACCTGTTGACCCCGTTGACCTTGTTGACCTGGCTGATCCCATTGAGAGGATGGACCAAATTCCGCAGACATGGCTCCTTGGACTGGCATGGTCGGCTGGCTCGGCTGCATTGCCATCATGTACACACCAGTACCGTTCTCAACCCCAGACATAATGCAACCTCCTTGCTGCCTATCCGCCGCTTCGCGTATCTGGTTTGGCAATCCTTGGTTCGAAGGACTGCTTTCGTGAGCCGCATCCTTGGTGCCAGGCAGCTGGTAGTGCTGATCAGGTGCCATATCTATGGGAGTGGCCCCCACCCTCACCATCAGTTCCACCCTGTTGTCATGGGAAACAAGGCCAGCCAAGTGCGCATCCATTCCCGTCCTTGTCTCCAACGCACTCTCCTCCTCCATCGCACCCTCCTTCTCCATCGCACCCTCCTTCTCCATCGCACCCTCCTTCTCCATCGCACCCGCCTCCTCCATCGCACCTTCCCCGTCAATGGTCTCTCTGCTTCCACTGCTTTCTTCCTCTGAAAGCATCTCCCATTCGTCCACTCCCTCCTTGCCTTTCGCAGTACCAACCCCACCCCCTCCACCCCCTTCGGTTTCTTCTATTCCCCCCAGCTGCTCGGCAAAATGCTCCGCAATTTCAGAGAACAACTCCCTCTCACCTTCCGTCAAGCCCTCAAATCCCACCACCTCTTGCAATCCCAACCCTCCAAACCTTTCCAGATCTGCTCCCAGTGCATTGAACCCCAGCAACCCCTGTCCATTTACCATAGCACTTGGCAGATTTATCTCGGCGCTACTAAACACTGGGTTGCCTTCACGGGGATGACCGCTGGTGAGTGCAGCTTCAGGGACTGAGATATCAACAAATGTGGATGGGAGGGCACAGACAGAGGCGGAGGAGGCAGAGGCAGAATTGGCAGAGCTACTACCGCTTACAGTGGATCTTCCTTCGGGAATGTATACTCCTCCTGCTTTGCTCCCGCTATCACTCCCTGCTGAAGTTTCTGCTGCAAATCCTACTACTCCCTCTCTTCCTCCTTCTCCTCCTGCTCCTCCTCCTCCTCCTCCCCCTCGTCCTCCTCTTCCTCTTCCTCTTCCTCCTCCTACCCCTCCTCCTCTTCCTCCTCCTCTTCCTCTTTGTTGTACCCTGTCTCTTCCTCCTCCTTCCCCTCCTCCTCCTCCTCCTCCTCCTCCTCCTCCTCCTCCTCCTCCTCCTCCTCCCAGTCCCACAATTGCAGCTGGTACCAACACTGTTCCTATAGCCCCTGATTCTGCACCTGTTTCTTTTTTTAATGCTTCCCCACTTGTTCCCACTTCAGACAACCTTTGAGGCACCGCGAAGCTCGCTGCCACCACCCTACTCGTACCCTCTCCAAACGGCCTTTGAGGCACAGCAAACGTCACTGCTCCGTCCCTGATTAATCCCTCTCCCTGCTGTAGTGTCTGACCCATCAACCCATGTGGCTGCTCTCCCATACCCATCCCTCCACCATCCACCTCTGCATCCCTTCCTGCTGCTTCCATCCTAGCCGTTTCTCCTAATAGCGCTTCAGGATCCGAACCTACTACCCCTCTCCTTTCCTGAATATGCCTCCTTGGGAAGTTAAGCTTCGCCTTTGATCCTCGTAGATTCAAAGCAGCTTCATCAAACGCCCGAGCAGCCTCCTCTGCAGAAGGAAACGTACCCAGCCACCTGCGGACCCCACCCTTGGTGTCTTTAATCTCTGCAACGTAACGAAATTCCCCGCGCTTCCTCACTCCCCGGTACTGCCCTGGCTGGTTGTAGTTGCGGCTGCGTGCCATTCTGGTGCGTCTGGGTAAACGCCCTGATGGGCCTGATTGCTCTGATGACCCTGATGGGCCTGATTGCTCTGATGGCCCTGTTGGCCCTGCACCAGCGGCAGCCTCACCTTGTTCTCGTGCTTGCGACAAGTGCGGCTGTAGCAGTGGCTGTAGCTGAGAGGAGAGCTGCTGGATCCGGTGTGGTGATAGCTGCTCTGGCTGAGCCTGTTGCTGAGCCTGTAGCTGTGCCTGTAGCTGTGCCTGTAGCTGTGCCTGTAGCTGTGCCTGTAGCTGAGCATGTAACTGCGGCTGTAGCTGAGCCTGTACCTGTGCCTGAAGCTGAGCATGAAACTGTGGCTGTAGCTGAGCCTGTATCTGTGCCTGTAGCTGTGGCTGTAGCTGAGCCTGTAGCTGAGACTGTAGCTGACCCTGTAGCTGAAACTGTAGCTGAGACTGTAGCTGAGCCTGTAACTGAGACTGTATCTGTGGCTGTAGCTGAGCCTGCACCTGTGGCTGTAGCTGAGCCTTTACCTGTTGCTGTGGCTTAGCCTGTAGCTGTGACTGTAGCTGAGCCTCAGGCTGTAGCTGTGGCTGTGGCTGTGGCTGTTGTGACAGCGCTGTATAGGCCCGTGCTGCAAGCTGCTGTGACATGTGCAGCTGCAGCATCTGTTGTTGCATCTGCTGCTGTGATACCTGCAGCTGCAGCATCTTTTGTTGCATCTGCTGTTGATCCATCTGCTGATCTTGCATCTGCTGCTGTGGCATCTGCTGCTGTGACATCTGCTGCTGGCGTGCCTGTCGTTGCATCTGCTCTGGTTGCATGATCTGCTGCTGCTGCATCCGCTAGTACTCTGGAATCTGCTGGTCCGGAATGGCGTCTGCTGCTCTGTCATCTAATCGCTCAGCCAGCAGAACGCTACCGTTGCAGATGCTACTGGACGACTGAGGCTAAAAAAAAAAATCAGAAGGTCTCCCAGGAGGGAGAGTAGAATTGTCACTCCCTGCTGTTCCACGTGGTCTAGTTTAGAGGTTCCAACAAATAAAAGTACTTAACTTACCACTTGATAAACCACTTCTCATCGGAGGAGGCAGATGAAGCTGCTGCTGTCTCCGTGCACCACTGTCAGTACAGCCAATTGAGGCTACTGGCAGTAACAGTTGCGGGTTCCCCCGAGTCTACTAATGGTACTGCTTCTAGTATTACTAGCAGCTGAGAGTCTCAAGCGGCATGAGTGGACTTAATTCAGGATGGCAATTGCAGGTCTGAACTAGTAGTGGCGCCACTGGAGATTCGCCGAACTGTTCAACTGGCAGTTGCCAACACTGGCAGCGATCCAGGACAGGACTTAGGTTTATTAGTAATAGACATGGGGTGCTTCGTGGCGAGTTAGCTAGCTATATCTACTGTAGTGAATGAGCTTGCTACTGCTGGTACTAGCCAGCTTTTGCACAACTGTCAGACTTTGGGAGATTGAATCAGGAGCTACACATTCTGTCTGTTGCTCCACCTCAAAATGGCTCTTGGTTTTGTGGGCTTCAGGTTGACCAGTAGAAAGTATCTTCAGCTGGGCAAGTGGCTGGTCTCTCCCATTGGTTCGATTCTGCACTGTACTTTGGCCTTCCCCTTGACGCGCATGATTCAGGGTTTCAGATGTACAGTCCTGGACACTCCCATTTCACTTCCCCGTCACACGGAAGGCTTCGGGTTTCAAAAATTGGTTGTACAGTAAAAAGTAAATCATTTTACAGTGTAGGACCAACCTCGCCGGGATGTGCTGACGGCGAAGGGCTTGGAGTGGCTCCTAGAGTGTATTCTGATTGGTTGGATTTTGCGTGATTCGCGTTGGGCATTTGCGTGATTGACGCTGGGCTTGGTTGGCCTTCGCGTCATTCGCGCGTTGCACTTGGATTGCCTCAGCTGCATACGTGGCGAGTGATCCAGGGAGTTCGGAAAGTCGCAAACTTGCTTGAAACCGCAGAGGATGGAGACTTTGAGGAAGTCAATAACCGTTGTGCGGTGACGTGGAAGGTAACCGTTCTTACAGAAGGAAAAACACCACCACCAAGCGCGCATTCACCTCAAACTGACATTGTACCATCTTACGAGACTTCTCGTTATGTGCATATTGCACATTCGCCTTATGAATGAACATACCCATTTAGGTTTTCAAAAACATTTAGCAAGGGACCATGACATAAGAGGACCCGATTACAGAGTGGTTCGACGCAGATACATTCATTTCCAGTATATTCAATCAATAAAATACCAATCTGTAACACATACTCATCTACACCTTACTATTCTGGCTTGCAACATGAGTGTGGACCATTGTTGAATTTATATTCATTTGTAACTGCATGCTATAATAGAAGTGTAGTATTATTTAGTTTCTCTGTTGGTGGTGTACCCCCTTTCCCCACCTTCCCTTGCATCTATATCTTGTACTGTTGTTAGTGAATCCCCTCTTCTCTCTCGAAACCCTCTTGCCACTCACGTTCCTACTCTAGCCATGGCTACTAAGGCTAAGGCTACTTCAACAGCCATGACGACTCACCTCCATCTCTACTGTGCTCGTTCAGCCAGTCGTTGCTCCTCACTGCCAAATCCCCCTCCTCCTCCTCCTCCTCCTCCTCCTCCTCCTCCTCCTCCTCCTCCTCCTCCTCCTCCTCCTCCTCCTCCTCCTCCTCCTCCTCCTCCTCCTCCTCCTCCTCCTCCTCTGCCCCTCCACCGCTACTCCGTCTCCTCTGCCCCTATTTAGAAGCTGGGGTGTGTGGCATGATAGGATGATAATGGACTGGTTGGATAAGGTCATGATGATATGATGTCATGGGTCATGGTGGCATGATAGCATGGTGTTACGATGGCATGCTGGCATAATAACATGGCATGATTGCACCATCACATGCATTGACATTTTGGGACACTGCCGGCATGCAAGTGTTGGAGCAGCATGGCATGGACGAGACATGGTACACCAGATGCAGCCCCATTCACCCACTCCAGTTACCAAGAACAATAGATGGTAACTTCGTGCACTCCCGCGTGGCCATCATTCCTTCCATGTTGTCATTTCCTATATGCGCGCGTGCATAAAAACACACACACAGATACACACACACACACGCACACACACACCACACACACATGCACACACACATATACACACACACCATACACACATACATATATACATACATACATACATACATACATACATACATACATACATACATACATACATACATACATACATACATACATACATACATGCTTACATACATACATACATACATACATACATACATACATACATACATACATACATACATACATACATACATACATACATACATATATGTCAGAATGTTATAGTGCTTACAGTTGTGTAGGCTATAGTGGGGTAGCCCATAAGGGGTACAACCCAATTAGGGTTAGTACTTGTGCCCAACTATTTCATAGTTCTTTCATTCTCGTTCAGTATTCTGACATGGATTCAGAGCAGGTCCTTCCCTAGGACCGTTTTTTTTTTCCTTGGGCCCACCACAGCACTACCCCGCTAGTCGCCCTCTGCAGCCCTCGTGCTGCCCCTACTGCCCGTCGCGACCCGTCGACCCCTAGGCCCATCGCGACCCGTCGCCCGTAGGCCCGTCGCCCCTAGGCCCGTCGCCTCGGCCCGTCGCCTTGGCCCGTCGCCCCTAGGCCCGTCGCCCTAGGCCCGTCGCCCCGGCCCGTCGACCCTCGGCCCGTCGCCCCTAGCCCGTCGCCTAGGCCCGTCGCCCTAGGCCCGTCGCCTCGGCCCGTCGCCCCTAGGCCCATCGCCCTATGCCCTACGCCCTAGGCCCGTCGCCCCTCGGCCCGTCGCCCTAGGCCCGTCGCCCCCGGCCCGTCCCCCCTAGCCCGTCGCAGCTAGGCCCGTCCACCCGTGGCTCGTCGCCCGCTAGCGGCTCGCCCACCGCCCCTACCACCCTCGCGCGGCCCGCGATCGGCCCGCCAGCTGCCTCTGCTGCCCGCGCGCCGCTCGCTATAGGCCCGCCAGCCGCCCCTGCCGCCCGCGCGCCGCCCGCTAGTGGCCCGCCAGCCGCCTCTGCCGCCGACGAGCCGCCCGCTCTCGGCCCGCCAGCTGCCCCCGCCGCCCGCGTGCCGCCCGCTATCGGCCTGCCAGCCGCTTCTGCCGCCCGCGCGCCGCCTGCTAACGGCCCGCCAGCTGCCTCTGCCGCCCGCGCGCCGCCCGCTATCGGCCCGCTAGCCGCCTCTGCCCCCCGCACGCCGCCTGCCAACGGCCCGCCAGCCGCCTTTGCCACCCGAGCGCCGCCGGCTATCGGCCCGCCCGCCGCCCCTGCAGCCCACGCGCCGCTCGCTAGCGGCCCGCTAGCCACTCCTGCCGCCTGCACGCCGCTCTCTAACGGCCCGCTAGCCGCCCCTGCCGCACATGCATCGCCTCTTTCTTCCTGTACGCCGTCCCTTGCAGCTTGTGCACTGCCTTCTTGCAGCCCGCTTGCTCCCCCCCTCTACGCTGCCCAGCTTCTGCCCGCCCTGCGTGCTGCGCCACTATGGCTTCTCTCCGCGTGCTAGCGTTCGATCATGAGGGATGCCCCCTGCAGTTTGACACGTGGCTCGACGACCTGCAGCTGTACCTGCTGAGCGACTCTAGGGACAGTGTTTCGTTGTTTGACCACACGTCTGGCGCCGCCACGAAGGCGTGGCAGGGAGGGGTGACCCAGGCGGTGGTGCCACAGAAGAGTCTGGTGCAACAGGAGGCGACACGAGCAAGGGGGTGCTACCTGACCTGACGCGGACACCTGAGCAGACGCAGCTACCTGAGGAGGCTCGGTAGCTAGTGTGTACAAACGCTATGGCACTTCGTCCTTCCTCTGTTCCACTGCGTGTTCCTCTGCCGCCTCCTCCTGAGTCCTCTCTTCTCGAGGTCCCTGACCCTGAGTCTGACCGCGCTCGTGCCGCCAGTCCCACTGTCTCTCGTCTCCTCGCCACTGCTGTCACTGACCCTTCTTTTGAGTCCACTGCTGCGTATGCCCTCGTTGCTGAGCTGCTTGACTTTGCTGCTGCCTGTCGTCTAGACCACGCCACTGCTCTTGTTGCTGAGTCTGAGTCTGCCAGTCCTCGGTCCGTCGGGGGTGAGTGTGCTCTTGGCACGGACGTCCTTGAGGACAGGCAGGAGGACTTTGAGTGTCTTGCATCTGCTGTACCTCGTTTCGCTTCCATGCTGCTTGCCCCTGAGGGAGACCCGGATGCACCAGACATCCCGACCCCGCGCTCTTACGCAGAGGCGATTACGGGTCCTTACTCCTCTCAGTGGCAGGCAGCCATGGATGCCGAGATGGCATCCTGGAAGTCCACAGGCACCTACGTCGACGAGGTTCCCCCACCTGGGGCGAACATAGTCGATGACATGTGGATTTTCAGGGTGAAGCGGCCGCCGGGTTCTCCGCCTGCCTTCAAGGCGCGTTACGTTGCTCGAGGCTTCAGTCAGCGACAGGGGGTTGACTACTTCCAAACCTTCTCCCCCACCCCAAAGATGACTACTCTTCGGGTGTTGCTGCACGTCGCTGCTCAGCGTGACTACGAGTTACACTCTTTGGACTTCAGTACAGCTTCCTTGCAGGGCAGCCTGCACGAGGAGATCTGGCTGCGCCGCCCACCTGGCTTCACTGGGTCGTTTCCTGCAGGTACCCAGTGGAGCCTCCGCCGGCCAGTCTACGGTCTTCGCCAGGCGCCTCGCGAGTGGTACGACACACTGAGGACTACATATGCGGCTCTTGGGTTTGCTCCTTCTACTGCTGACCCGTCGTTGTTTCTACGCACCGACACCTCGCTGCCGCCGTTCTACGTCCTCGTCTACGTCGACGAACTCGTCTTTACCACTGCTGACACTGAGGCACTGAACCTTGTGAAGTCGGAGCTGCAGAAGAGACACACCTGCACTGACCTGGGACAGAGCACGGCGCACCATCAGACTGACTCAGTCACACATGGTGCACCAGGTCCTTCAGCGCTTCGGCTTCCAGTTCTCCTTGCCACAGCCCACTCCTCTGTCTACCGGCCACTCGCTCTCAGCTCCACCTTCGGACGAGTCCGTAGAGCCGAGTGGTCCATACCCAGAGCTTGTGGGTTGCCTCATGTACCTGATGACCTGCACCCGACCTGACCTCGCGTACTCTCTCAGCCTTCTGGCTCGCTACGTGGCCCCCGGTAGGCACTAAAAGGTGCACTGGGATGCTGCGAAGAGGGTACTGCGTTACTTGTGCAGTACGTCGGGCATGGGGCTCGTGCTTGGAGGACGGGGTCCAGTTGTCCTCACTGGTCACGCAGACGCTTCTTGGGTTGACGACTTGGCTACGCAGCGGTCGTCACAGGGTTACACCTTCAGCCTCGGTTCCGGCTCTGTTTCCTGGCGGTCTACCCGCTCGTCTTCAGTTCTCAACTCGAGTTGTGAGGCTGAGATCTACGCAGGGGCCATGGCTGCACAGGAGCTACGCTGGCTCACCTACCTGCTGACCGACTTGGGAGAGCAGCCTCGTTCACCTCCAGTTCTGTACGTAGACAACAAGGCCATGAATGCCTTGTGTTAGGAGCACAGACTGGAGCACATAACGAAACACATCGCTCTGCGATACTTCTTTGCTCGAGAGTTGCAGCAGCGTGGCCAGCTTCGTCTTGCGTACGTGGCCACTAGGGCCAACACTGCTGATATATTCACCAAGGCACTTCCGCCTGGTGATCATCAGCGATTCTCTACTGTGTTAGGCCTTGTGCCTACTTTGCCTCACTTACTCACTGCTTGACTTTGCTTGTACTGTGATCTATATATATACTTGCATGCTTACACTTGCTAGGGTATGATCACTGTATTGTTTGTTCTCTTTTATATGACTCTGCATGTGAACTGGCCTTGTGGCCCTTTGCTTGTGCTCGGACTGTGTGGTGACTTTGTGATCCACCCTGAGCTTGCTTTGCTTTCCTTGACTGGTCTTGTGGCCACTTGTTCTCCCCCACTTTGCCTATGGGGGTGTGTCAGAATGTTGTAGTGCTTACCGTTGTGTAGGCTATAGTGGGGTAGCCCATAAAGGGGTACAGCCCAATTAGGGTTAGTACATGTACCCAAATCTTTCATAGTTCATTCATTCTCGTTCAGTATTCTGACACTACATACATAGATACATACATACATACATACACACATTCATACTTACATATATACATACATACAAACATACATACATACATACATACATACATACATACATACATACATACATACATACATACATACATGTTAACGGGAATGGAGTGTTGGCCCCGCCCTCGCTTGGGCAATGCCGAGGACTTAGTCGGATGTACGGGAGTAGCAGCCGACCGTTCATAGTGGGAAAGCTGCTCGACAGGCTTCGTCGAGCTGCAGTCGACCACTGTAGTGTTGCTGTCGACCAGGGAGCTCGACAGCTACAAGTGACTGGTCTGGGCGACGGGTTTGCCGTTGACCAGGAGGAGCAGTTCGACCGGGAGGTCGACGGAGCAGTCCGTCGACCTTACAAGTGAGCAGCGGTCGACGAGAGGAGCTCGGCGACAACAGCTAACAGTCCTGATTGACGAAAGGGGTCCGTCGACCAGAGGGTAGCTCGACGGGAGTTGTGGTCGACCAGGGGCACCTGGTGGTCGTCCAGGTCGACCGGGTAACCTGCTCGGCGAGTTCTGCGGAGGCACGCAAACGTCGTCGAGGTCGCGATGGCGAAGGCGACTTCGGGTTGGTATCCCGAAGTCGATGTGGCTCGTCAAGCGCAGACAACAGCCGACGAATGCACAACGGTGCAAGTCGGGCCAATCGTCTGCGCACACCTACGAGCGAGCGCACTGCTGTCTTCTACGGGGCAACGCTGGACAGCCGCTCTTCTACAGCATTGGCACACCGTCGACCTGCTGTGTTGGCAGGTCGCCTTTCTGCAGTGCTGGCGCAGCTACTCTACGCAATGCTGGCGGGCGGTCGACCAGGCTGTGCTGTCGGTCGACCAGGCTAGCTGCAGAGTTGCTAGGTGCTTGATGTAGTCATTGTTGTCATTGCTTGTTCAACTATTCTGTAATTCCAACTTTGCTAGTGGAAACTCTTGCCGATTTCTCCTGTGATTGTGCAAGCACTAAGGAACTAGGCAAAGCTACGATCACTCATAGTAGTTCGTGCCAACCCTGTAGTCTAGCTCACTACAGTTGTAGAGTGAATCTCCGCAATACATACATACATACATACATACATACATACATACATACATACATACATACATACATACATGCATACATACATACATACATACATACATACATACATGCATGCATGCATGCATACACACACGCACGCGCGCACACACACACACACACACACACACACACACACACACACACACATGAGCACACTTGTATTATTAGTCAACAAACAAACAAAGATATGCCTAATGAATATAAATAGGAGCTAAATACATGCAATTCAACCCTATCCTTATTCCCTATGGTCCCCATTATCCATCAAGAACCTCTCGAGTGCATCAATGGTGTAGGTTTCAGCACCAGGGCTAGGCGATGCTTCATGCTCGAATTCCCCTGTATTCAACTCTCCTGCATCAATCCCATGTTCCCCAACCTCCAAACCTACTCTGTTGACTCCCAACTGCTCCATCAAGGGGACCGCATTAATATGATTCTCGAAGCTGTGATAGGCTGCACCCTGGATGCGAGAAGATGAAGAGGTGAGGCCCCAGGCAGCAACTGCAGAGTGTTCCTTGTCTCTCAGGATCAACAGGTTGGCTGAGGGGTGAGGATGAGAAAGGTGCTCAGCAGTAGGCTGGTCAGTAGCACCAGCATTGTATGCAGGCCTGAAGTCCTCTACTGCAGGTTCCTGCATTTCGACATCTATTCCACTGCTGCCAGGGTTTAGGGTCCCACCACCAGTCCCGTAGCCGTTGATTCCCTTATAGGCATCATGCTCCAAGGCATCAACACCGCACTTCTCTGTGTTGATGAATCCATGCCAGCGGGCCGTACCATCAAAGTTGGTGGTTGGATTGGCGGGGGACGGAGGGACACGGTGCGAGTGGGAGACTGCATCCTCAGCACCAGCTCCGGAAGCAGCGACAGAAGCAGCACCAGCAGCAGCAGCAGCAGCAGCAGCAGCAGCAGCAGCAGCAGCAGCAGTAGCAACGCCAGCAGCAGCGCCAGAAGCAACGTCACCAGCAAAGCCGGGAGTAGAGGTCAGAGCAGAGGAGGTGAGAGCAGCATGTGTCATGGGGGGAGTGGACTGACTGCGGAAGGGCAGGTGACACTGGAGGCGATTGAGCTGCTCTTGGTGCTGATGCAGCAGCTGCAGCTCCTCTTGCTGGTGCACCAACTGCAATTGCTGCTGCTGAATTGAAAACGACAGGCTCTGCTGCTGCTGCTGTGCCATCCATCTATCATCCAACGACGACCTCTGCTGCCCCTCCAGCCGTCCATGCTGCAGCACCCCTTGTCCATACCTCCTGGCGGGTAACCAAGGCTGCTTCTCGATTGTTGACGTACGCAGCATTTGCCTGCTCAGTTGTCCTGCTCCCATTGGTCCCTGGTCATGTGACTGTGATCGCCTCACCCTGTGCAGAGGGATAGATGAAATTGGACTGGGAGAGCAGGCTGGGGAGGATGCCAGCCCAGCAACACCAGAAACACCAGCACCACCAGCAACGACAGCCGCACCGTCCACACCCCCAGCAGGTGCAACAGCAGCAGCGCCACCAGCAACACCGACAGCAGCCTTTCCGGCACAATTCGCGCCATTCCCACTTCCCACGTTGAAACCTGCAGAGGCTACACCACACATAGGACCAACAACACCCATACCACCAGCAATGCCGGCACCAATCGCACCGCTCCCACCGCTCCCATGTTGCTGCTGCTGCTGCTGCTGCTGCTGCTGCTGCTGCTGCTGCTGCTGCTGCTGCTGCTGCTGCTGCTGCTGCTGCTGCTGCTGCTGCTTCTGCTGCTGCTGCTGCTGCTGCTGCTGCTGCTGCTGCTGCTGCTGCTGCTGCTGCTGCTGCTGCTGCTGCTGCTGCTGCTGCTGCTGCTGCTGCTGCTGCTGCTGCTGCTGCTGCTGCTGCGGCTGCTGCGCCATCTGTGTCTCATCCAGCGTCAACCTCTTCTTCCCCTCAAGTTGTATCTGCTGCATTGCCCCTTGTACGGAGGGCAACCAAGGCTGCTTCCCCAATCGTTTGTGCAGCTCTTGAGGCATACTTGCTGGCTGGAAATCTTGGCTGGAAGGTTGACGCACGACGCACCATATGCAGCTGTCCTATCCCGCTGGCCTCTGCTCATTGGACTGTGACCTTCGCATCCTTCGCAGAGGGATTGCTGTTTTTGGTTGGAGAGAGCGGGCTGGGGAGGATGCAACCCCAGCCGCACCGGGCCCAGCAGCACCACCAGCCACGCCAGCACCACCAGCCACACCAGCAACACCAGCAGAACCAGAAACACCAGCATAACCAGCAACACCAGCCACGCCAGCAACACCAGCAGAAGCAGCAACACCAGCAACAGGAACAACACCAGCATCGCCAGCAAATCCAGGACCACCAGGAATAACGGCAGCAGTATTCACAGTACTATCCGCGCCAGTCCCACTACCCACATTGGCAGCTGCAGCATCTACACCACCACCAGCAACACCAGCGCCAATTTCACCGCTCACAACACCCACACCACCTATGTTGCCCGCACATAGCCGGGAATCAGGAGCTGACGTACTGATAGCAGGTGGTTCCAGTGGGGAAGAACGCCACTGCTCTTGTGCTGAGTCTGAGTCTGCCAGTCCTCGGTCCGTCGGGGGTGAGTGTGCTCTTGGCACGGACGTCCTTGAGGACAGGCAGGAGGACTTTGAGTGTCTTGCATCTGCTGTACCTCGTTTCGCTTCCATGCTGCTTGCCCCTGAGGGAGACCCGGATGCACCAGACATCCCGACCCCGCGCTCTTACGCAGAGGCGATTACGGGTCCTTACTCCTCTCAGTGGCAGGCAAGCCATGGATGCCGAGATGGCATCCTGGAAGTCCACAGGCACCTACGTCGACGAGGTTCCCCCACCTGGGGCGAACATAGTCGATGACATGTGGATTTTCAGGGTGAAGCGGCCGCCGGGTTCTCCGCCTGCCTTCAAGGCGCGTTACGTTGCTCGAGGCTTCAGTCAGCGACAGGGGGTTGACTACTTCCAAACCTTCTCCCCCACCCCAAAGATGACTACTCTTCGGGTGTTGCTGCACGTCGCTGCTCAGCGTGACTACGAGTTACACTCTTTGGACTTCAGTACAGCTTCCTTGCAGGGCAGCCTGCACGAGGAGATCTGGCTGCGCCGCCCACCTGGCTTCACTGGGTCGTTTCCTGCAGGTACCCAGTGGAGCCTCCGCCGGCCAGTCTACGGTCTTCGCCAGGCGCCTCGTGAGTGGTACGACACACTGAGGACTACATATGCGGCTCTTGGGTTTGCTCCTTCTACTGCTGACCCGTCGTTGTTTCTACGCACCGACACCTCGCTGCCGCCGTTCTACGTCCTCGTCTACGTCGACGAACTCGTCTTTACCACTGCTGACACTGAGGCACTGAACCTTGTGAAGTCGGAGCTGCAGAAGAGACACACCTGCACTGACCTGGGACAGAGCACGGCGCACCATCAGACTGACTCAGTCACACATGGTGCACCAGGTCCTTCAGCGCTTCGGCTTCCAGTTCTCCTTGCCACAGCCCACTCCTCTGTCTACCGGCCACTCGCTCTCAGCTCCACCTTCGGACGAGTCCGTAGAGCCGAGTGGTCCATACCCAGAGCTTGTGGGTTGCCTCATGTACCTGATGACATGCACCCGACCTGACCTCGCGTACTCTCTCAGCCTTCTGGCTCGCTACGTGGCCCCCGGTAGGCACTGAAAGGTGCACTGGGATGCTGCGAAGAGGGTACTGCGTTACTTGTGCAGTACGTCGGGCATGGGGCTCGTGCTTGGAGGACGGGGTCCAGTTGTCCTCACTGGTCACGCAGACGCTTCTTGGGTTGACGGACTTGGCTACGCAGCGGTCGTCACAGGGTTACACCTTCAGCCTCGGTTCCGGCTCTGTTTCCTGGCGGTCTACCCGCTCGTCTTCAGTTCTCAACTCGAGTTGTGAGGCTGAGATCTACGCAGGGGCCATGGCTGCACAGGAGCTACGCTGGCTCACCTACCTGCTGACCGACTTGGGAGAGCAGCCTCGTTCACCTCCAGTTCTGTACGTAGACAACAAGGCCATGAATGCCTTGTGTTAGGAGCACAGACTGGAGCACATAACGAAACACATCGCTCTGCGATACTTCTTTGCTCGAGAGTTGCAGCAGCGTGGCCAGCTTCGTCTTGCGTACGTGGCCACTAGGGCCAACACTGCTGATATATTCACCAAGGCACTTCCGCCTGGTGATCATCAGCGATTCTCTACTGTGTTAGGCCTTGTGCCTACTTTGCCTCACTTACTCACTGCTTGACTTTGCTTGTACTGTGATCTATATATATACCTGCATGCTTACACTTGCTAGGGTATGATCACTGTATTGTTTGTTCTCTTTTATATGACTCTGCATGTGAACTGGCCTTGTGGCCCTTTGCTTGTGCTCGGACTGTGTGGTGACTTTGTGATCCACCCTGAGCTTGCTTTGCTTTTCCTTGACTGGTCTTGTGGCCACTTGTTCTCCCCCACTTTGCCTATGGGGGTGTGTCAGAATGTTGTAGTGCTTACCGTTGTGTAGGCTATAGTGGGGTAGCCCATAAAGGGGTACAGCCCAATTAGGGTTAGTACATGTACCCAAATCTTTCATAGTTCATTCATTCTCGTTCAGTATTCTGACACTACATACATAGATACATACATACATACATACACACATTCATACTTACATATATACATACATACAAACATACATACATACATACATACATACATACATACATACATACATACATACATACATACATACATGTTAACGGGAATGGAGTGTTGGCCCCGCCCTCGCTTGGGCAATGCCGAGGACTTAGTCGGATGTACGGGAGTAGCAGCCGACCGTTCATAGTGGGAAAGCTGCTCGACAGGCTTCGTCGAGCTGCAGTCGACCACTGTAGTGTTGCTGTCGACCAGGGAGCTCGACAGCTACAAGTGACTGGTCTGGGCGACGGGTTTGCCGTTGACCAGGAGGAGCAGTTCGACCGGGAGGTCGACGGAGCAGTCCGTCGACCTTACAAGTGAGCAGCGGTCGACGAGAGGAGCTCGGCGACAACAGCTAACAGTCCTGATTGACGAAAGGGGTCCGTCGACCAGAGGGGTAGCTCGACGGGAGTTGTGGTCGACCAGGGGCACCTGGTGGTCGTCCAGGTCGACCGGGTAACCTGCTCGGCGAGTTCTGCGGAGGCACGCGAACGTCGTCGAGGTCGCGATGGCGAAGGCGACTTCGGGTTGGTATCCCGAAGTCGATGTGGCTCGTCAAGCGCAGACAACAGCCGACGAATGCACAACGGTGCAAGTCGGGCCAATCGTCTGCGCACACCTACGAGCGAGCGCACTGCTGTCTTCTACGGGGCAACGCTGGACAGCCGCTCTTCTACAGCATTGGCACACCGTCGACCTGCTGTGTTGGCAGGTCGCCTTTCTGCAGTGCTGGCGCAGCTACTCTACGCAATGCTGGCGGGCGGTCGACCAGGCTGTGCTGTCGGTCGACCAGGCTAGCTGCAGAGTTGCTAGGTGCTTGATGTAGTTATTGTTGTCATTGCTTGTTCAACTATTCTGTAATTCCAACTTTGCTAGTGGAAACTCTTGCCGATTTCTCCTGTGATTGTGCAAGCACTAAGGAACTAGGCAAAGCTACGATCACTCATAGTAGTTCGTGCCAACCCTGTAGTCTAGCTCACTACAGTTGTAGAGTGAATCTCCGCAATACATACATACATACATACATACATACATACATACATACATACATACATACATACATGCATACATACATACATACATACATACATACATACATGCATGCATGCATGCATACACACACGCACGCGCGCACACACACACACACACACACACACACACACACACACACACACACATGAGCACACTTGTATTATTAGTCAACAAACAAACAAAGATATGCCTAATGAATATAAATAGGAGCTAAATACATGCAATTCAACCCTATCCTTATTCCCTATGGTCCCCATTATCCATCAAGAACCTCTCGAGTGCATCAATGGTGTAGGTTTCAGCACCAGGGCTAGGCGATGCTTCATGCTCGAATTCCCCTGTATTCAACTCTCCTGCATCAATCCCATGTTCCCCAACCTCCAAACCTACTCTGTTGACTCCCAACTGCTCCATCAAGGGGACCGCATTAATATGATTCTCGAAGCTGTGATAGGCTGCACCCTGGATGCGAGAAGATGAAGAGGTGAGGCCCCAGGCAGCAACTGCAGAGTGTTCCTTGTCTCTCAGGATCAACAGGTTGGCTGAGGGGTGAGGATGAGAAAGGTGCTCAGCAGTAGGCTGGTCAGTAGCACCAGCATTGTATGCAGGCCTGAAGTCCTCTACTGCAGGTTCCTGCATTTCGACATCTATTCCACTGCTGCCAGGGTTTAGGGTCCCACCACCAGTCCCGTAGCCGTTGATTCCCTTATAGGCATCATGCTCCAAGGCATCAACACCGCACTTCTCTGTGTTGATGAATCCATGCCAGCGGGCCGTACCATCAAAGTTGGTGGTTGGATTGGCGGGGGACGGAGGGACACGGTGCGAGTGGGAGACTGCATCCTCAGCACCAGCTCCGGAAGCAGCGACAGAAGCAGCACCAGCAGCAGCAGCAGCAGCAGCAGCAGCAGCAGCAGCAGCAGCAGCAGCAGCAGCAGCAGCAGCAGCAGCAGTAGCAACGCCAGCAGCAGCGCCAGAAGCAACGTCACCAGCAAAGCCGGGAGTAGAGGTCAGAGCAGAGGAGGTGAGAGCAGCATGTGTCATGGGGGGAGTGGACTGACTGCGGAAGGGCAGGTGACACTGGAGGCGATTGAGCTGCTCTTGGTGCTGATGCAGCAGCTGCAGCTCCTCTTGCTGGTGCACCAACTGCAATTGCTGCTGCTGAATTGAAAACGACAGGCTCTGCTGCTGCTGCTGTGCCATCCATCTATCATCCAACGACGACCTCTGCTGCCCCTCCAGCCGTCCATGCTGCAGCACCCCTTGTCCAT